TATCTCACAGTGCTTGGAATAGTAGTGATATAGTTAGAGTTTAACAAGTATCATCTATTATTCAAAAATCACCTAGATTTGTATTTGGGCTGTGAACCAGGCACTAGTAAAATTGTACAAACAACAAAAACACAACATTAAAATAAAAATTAGCATAATCTTTAAAAATAAGCCTAAAACTTCAGTTTGAAAGGATAGTACCTAAACAATTATTGCAACATCTATAGAGAATACACACTTGTTAACAGAATCTCTGCAGGAGACATACATAGGAATCCTTTCTGCTGTAATCCAAATGGATAAAAATTTATATTGTGCCTATTATTTGTAAGGTGCATAGCTGTGTTTGAGGTTACAAAAATAAAACACAGGCTTTGCTCATAAAAACTCTACCATCTAGTAGGGCATACAGTATATTTTTTTAATTTTTTTTTTCCTTTTTTTTTTTAAAAAATGGAGTCTTGTTCTGTCACCCAGGCTGGAGTGCAATGGCATGATCTTGGCTCACCGTAACCTCTACCTCCCGGGTTCAAGCGATTCTCCTGCCTCAGCCTCCTGAATAGCTGGGATTACACAGGCGTGTGCCACCATGCCTGGCTCATTTTTTTTGTGTGTGTGTGTGTCTTTTTAGTAGAGATAGGGTTTCACCATGTTGGTCAGGCTGGTCTCAAACTCCTGACCTCAGATGATCCACCCACCTTGGCCTCCCAAAGTGCTGGGATTACACGCATAAGCCACCATGCCTGGCTCTTTTTAGTTTTTTTTTTTTTTTAAAGTACAAATGTTCACTAAGGAAAAATGGAAAATAGTGAAAAGCAAATACACCCATATGGCTCTTTCAAATTCATTCTAGCAAATTCATTCTAGCTTAAAAAAATCATTAACTACATTATATGGAATTTTGTATTCTGCTTGCTTTCTCTAAATAGTAAGCATGATTTCCATTCTATCCCATAGTTTTGGAAGGATTTGTTGTTACATAATTTTGATTAGTGTGTGCATGTGGTAGCACCTGTAATCTTCACTATGGCCATTGATATTTAGTGTAGTGGTTAAGAGAATGGGCATCAATTTTAAGTCACCTGTATCTAAAGTCCAGCTTCCCCATTTGCTGGCTGTTACTTGAGCAAGTTACTTTATTTCTCGGAATGTACTTCAGCTTCCTGTTGATAAAATAGGAAAAATAGTACTTACACCATAGAGTTTTGAGATATATGTAAAGCCACTCGCCCAGTGCCTGGCAATAAATCTAGCTAAGAAGCAGTTTTAGACATTGTGTTTGCCTTACCAACATGCTTTCCATACCTTCCCCATTATATTGCAGTCATGCAGTTGGGAACAAGGCTAGACACTGATTCATTTAAACAACCCAGACTAGTCCCATCCTTCCAGTTAGTGATTGCTTCAGACTAATCATGAATAATCCAAAGAGTCCATGACATTCATATGATCACAAGAATGGACAAGTAATCAATTTGGGCAAACAGATCTCATTGTGGATCTATTGAGATGCGTATTAGAGTTCGAGAGCAGCCTGGGCAACAAAGTGAGACCCTGTCCCCGAAAAAAAAAAATGTGTATTAACAGGTTTTTTTCCCCGCAATGGGAACTGCTCTTTCATCAAAGGATAAACCCTACTTGGCAATGGTATGTTGTTCTTTGAACACGTGATTTGTACTTCTAATATTTTATTTAAGTTTGTTTGCATCCATATTCCTAGGTAAAAGAACAATTTATAGCTTTGAAAAGACAATTTTTGTCTTTTCAATGTTTTGGTGCCAGGGTCACAGTAACTTCAAAAATTGAAAAGACAATTTTTGTCTTTTCAATGTTTTGGTGTCAGGGTAACAGTAACTGCACAAAATTTAATGTGGTGTACACTCACCTTTTTCTGCCTACCAGAGAAACTTTATATAACACAGGCATAATGTGCCTCTTAAAAGTTTGGGAGAATGCATAGCGTGATCAGGACTCTTTTGAGGAGATACAATTCATTGGTTACTACATTAATTTTTTTTCTTTGGTTATTGACTTGTTTGAATTTTATAATTCTTGAGTGGGTTTTCTAAACTTCTGTACTGAATATGTCATAGCAAATATTTCAGTTAAAATAATTAAGGATTGCATTTATTTTTAATAATCTATTTTTCATTATCTTTATTATTTCTGATTTTGATTTTTTAAAAAAATGCATTTGTCAGGAGGTTGCCTATTTGCTTTCTTCTGAGTTATTCCTAGTATTATCCATATTGTTTCTTTTTCCCCTTGTGTTACATGTCTATTAGTTCATTTTCATGTTCTAAATAATAGTGGCTATCAGTTTGCCTTTCAGCATAGCTTTAAACACATCCTCTAGCTTTTATTTGCCATTTTGTTTTCACTCAATTTTACTGGATCTTTTTGAAAAAACTGTTTAGGAGGCTTCTAAATTATTTTTCACGATTGTGATTTAATTATTAAAATCTTTTAGTTTTATTACCATGTATAACTTTTGCCTTTTAAAATGCACTGCAGGGAAATTGTCAGGCTCTAAGGATTGCTTTCGGCTATTACAGGCCATTCAGATGTTGAAGTAATGTACAGCAGGTGGGCACTGAATGTCAGAGCCATTTCATTCCTCCAGAAATCCAAGGAGGCTGACAGGATCTACGCTTAGGGTAGAAGAGAGTAAGAGATGTCCTTGCAATCAGACCAAAGTATTTCAAACAGAGAGGCTGGAAAGAACATGTTGGAGGTGTTTCTTTTATCCTGCTATAAATACTCTAAATCAGCTGATGTGCAGAAAGCTAAGAGATCTTTCTGGGTCCTCTATGCTGCTTTTGTCATTTGGTATTGCTTTCTGATCGATTTGTAAACTATTCCATTTGAGAAAAGTTATATTTTTTTATACATATAAATTTTGCTTTATTTTTCATTTCTTGCAGATAATTTCTCCCCATATTTGATTTGTGTTGTGACGGTTCACGGAACATGTTAAGGTTTCCATCACAATCCCTACACTATTGTAAAGTATACTTTGTACTTTCATATTTTAATATATAAAAGTATATATATTATATATTTTTATATATATAAAGTACTTGCAATTTCACATTTTAATCCTATACGAGCCTGCATATAAGTGTCAGGGTCTGTTTTCTTCACTACTAATTGTAATTTTATCAGTGACTATGCTTCTGTTATTTAGCTTTATAACTTCTCCTTAAATTGTACTCTGAGATACTTTTTCTGTTGAGTGTGTGTGACAGAATTGGATTTGAAGGTAAGTCTCTTGGATGAAGGAAACAATTTCATTTTGTTTTTAGAATTTAAACAGTTTAAACAGTTTTGGTCTTATGCGGTTTTTTTTTTTTTTTTTTTTTTACTTTTTTCATAGACACAATTTCACTTTTGCATTGTTCAAGAATTTGAAGAGAAGACATTCTGTTATTAATTTTATTATTAACCACTTTAACAGATTTCAAAAGATTCTTCCTTACATTTAATTACCAAAGTAAAAAACGAATGAATTTTAATATTTCTTTACAAAAGAGAAGGATTTTACCCCTTACCTGCCTCTGTCCCCTCAAAAAAAGAAATTGCCATTCCTTCTTGGCCTTCATTAACTTAACCTAGGGCTATAAATCCCACTGAAAAATTTCAGAATAGATAAGTCATATGATAAACCTCTTTTTTTAAAAAATGAAATTTACAATTACTTTCATTATTCTAATAGTTTCCATGATGATTTCAATACTCACCGACTGGCCTTTCTTTCCTTATTCTTTTATTCTTAATTTTGATTCATTTTGGGAGTGCGGTGATTAATTTTTTTCCAGAAAGGGCAAATGAGCAGTACATTGTATATCACAGAATGTCTGTTACCTTTACAATTTGGATGAGTAGAGAAATCTTGGGCTACAAAACTGTAGACATTGCTCCATTCCAGATGGCATTTAAAATGTGTAGAAGAGGATCTTCAGTCTTGTGCCTTTTAAAATTTTTTAGATCAACGATGTTTGTTCTATTAAAATGAATTATTGTTTATTGGGAACATCTATTAGGCAATGGATAAATCTCTGTAATCAGTCTTTTTGATCTGTACCTTTTCTCTCACTATATACGTCGAAGGGTGCTTTTTGTCTTTCACTCTGATGCTTTTTGTTCATCCTAACTTATTTAAGCTGCAGAATCCTTTAAAGGAAAGCTTTTAAAGCACAATATATAACATTGATGAAAGCAGTTCTGATCTGGAAAATAAACAGAAAGTGGGGGAACTTCCCTCTATCTTCCCTTTGTGGACTCATGAGAACCCACAGGATTCTGAAAAGTAGTTTAGTATTCACTGTTCATCTTGGATTCAGTTTTCTTTAGTGCTATGACTATTTACTATTTCTGACACAAATGTTAATTTAGCTTCTCCTTTTCTTTTCTCACTCTTATTCTCCTGCCCTCTTGCCATCATAATAACCTGCTGCACCATAGGGGGAGCAAAAGCAGATATTTTCTAATATTTCTTGTTCTATAAGCACTGGAAGAACAAAGTCCTTCTTTCTAAATGCTTCAGGACATTGCTCTTCTCTCATTCTGCAGAACTGTCTGTTTCACCAGCCTCATGCTGATTTTTGCTTTATTCACTAAGAAAGAAAAACTTTAATTGAAGTATAAGATAAATAAAAAATGCATACTCCATACAGTACAGCTCAAAAACAATCAGTTATCCCATCCTGGTCAAGAAAGACAAGACCACCAGCACACCATAACTCCCTTTGTGAACTTCCCCATTCCAGTCTGCTCAACAGTATGTTTTGCTTGTTTCTGAACTCTGTAAGTGGGAATCCTACAGCACATCTTTTGTTGACTGGTTGCTTTTGTTCAACATTATGTTTGTGAGATTCCTTCAAATCGTTAAGTGTGGCAAGAGTTAGCTCATTTCCTTGCTATACAGTGTCATATGCATTCTGTTCATGGACACTGGGGTTCTTTCCACTTTGAGGCTACTATGAATAATACCAAGAATGTTTTTGTATGTGTCTTTTGGTACACATATGTACACATCTTTATTGGATATATGCTTAGAAGTGGAACTGCTGAGTTGAGGGCATACATATATTCAACTTTAGTAGATACAGTCAAACATTTTCCCAAGTGGTTGAGCCAATTTGCATCAGCAGTTCTTGTTATTTCACACTGTCACCAGTACTTGGTATTGTCAACATTTTAATTCTTGCTGTACATACCACTGTTGGGGTAGCTTATTGTAGTTGTAATGAGCAGTTCATTGATGACTAATACGGCTGAACATTCTGAGTTTTAAAAGATTCTTTAGCTTAAATTAACTATCAAATTAAAAAGAATATTTTAATATTTCTTTACAAAATGAATCTATCCACTCCTCCTGTCCTCTGCCAAAACAAAACAACCCCAAAACAAAACTAAATAAAACTCCCCAAACAAAAAACCCTGCCCTCCTCTTGGTCTTCTTTTGTGAAGTGCTTGTTCAAATCTTTTGCCCATTTAGTTACTTATTTCACAATGAGGTTATCTAGGCCAACTGCAGAGAACTGTCAGACTCTGAATATTGCTTTCAGCTCTTTCACAGTCTACTCAAGTAAGTGCTGATATAATATCCAAAAGGCGGTCAAAGGTATTAGACTCATTTCATTTTCCCAGGAAATCCCAGGAGGTCCGTCAGATCTAGGGTAGAAGAGGGTAAGGGACTTCCTTGCAATAAGATCAAAGTTCTCAGGGCAAAGAAGCTGAAAAGAACATTCTGCGCCCCCCCCCCCCCCCCACCGCGCCCCCCATCTGTAAGTATTCTAAATCAGCTGATGTGCAGAGGCTAAGACATCTTTCTGTGCTGGTTATGTCACCTTTGTCATTCATACTCTTCTGGTCAGAGGCAGGATCTTTTATGACTCCCCTATCGAGGTGAATGCCAGGTGTGGTTCTCTTAGTCAAGGAAACCTCCAACATAGTGCAGCTTCAGGGCCACTAGTGAAGGAATGCAGAAAGAAGCCTATTATGACAAGACTCTCAATAGCTGTCTCAAATTAATAGTATAGCCTTCTCATACATAATAAGGAGTGTCGGAAGATGGGAGGCTAAGGTGTCATCTTGTTTTATTTGTTTTTGTTTGTTTGTTTGAGACGGAGTCTCGCTCTGTTGCCCAGGCTGGAGTGCAGTGGGGCGATCTCGGCTGACTGCAAGCTCCGCCTCCCGGGTTCACGCCATTCTCCTGCCTCAGCCTCCGGAGTAGCTGGGACTACAGGCGCCCGCCACCACGCCTGGCTCAGTTTTTGTATTTTTAGTGGAGACGGGGTTTCACCATGTTAACCAGGATGGTCTTGATTTCCTGACCTCGTGATCGGCCCATCTTGGCCTCCTGAAGTGCTGGGATTACAGGCGTGAGCCACTGCGCCCGGCCGTCATCTTGTTTTATTAACAGGATGTTCCGATGTAGAACTGGAGTGAGTCATTTTTTAAAATCCTACCCCTTACTAGGATTCTACTAAATTTCTGTTTAGTAGAAATTCTTTCTAGTTTCCACTAATCTTAACCTAAGCTTCTATGATATAAATTTTCTTCCTACTTAATGTTTTCAAGGATATTTTTGTAGAACCCTGAGAGAGGTTTACAGAGGCTTGCATTTACACTAATAATTATTTATCTTTCTTATTTTCTAGATGAGAAAACAGACCCAAAAAGGCAATGTGGGTATATGAAACTCACTTTTGGGGAACTAAAGGCTAATAATATCAACAAGATCTAGAAGACATGATAAATTCCCGCTACAAATAGCTAAAAGCTATTAAGTAGAAGCTGGGTATGCCAGGCACATTGCTAATCTTTAAGGATGATGTAAGGGAGATTTACTTCCGATTTTTTTTTGTGTGTGAAATACCTCCTTTGAGTTAACATAGTAAAATAAGGCTGTAGGAACTACATTACAGTACCTGGTATAGACTCCTTATTGCCTGTGATTCCCAGATATTCCTAACAGGACTCATCTCCTACTATTTTTAGCCTAAATCTGGGATATTGCCAAAGCAGATCCCCCTGTCCAGTGCTCTCAGCAACTATTGCAGATTGTTTCTAAAGTCAGTCCTTTTAAGTAACAGATTAAAATATTCTCCTCTACCCTCTTCAAAATGGTCATGCTGGCACTTCTATTGAGTTACAAATGTACTAATATAGAAGAGGGAGGAAGTCTTTTGTGCCAGTGGGGCAATGAGATAAGAATGTAAAAAGTATCTCCTAGGGCCAAAACCCAACACAATGGGTAGACTTTGTTTTATTTGAATTTTATTTTTGAGATGGAGTCTTGCTGTGTCGCCCAGGCTGGAGTGCAGTGGCAAAATCTTGGCTCACTGCAACCTCTGCCTCAGTCTCCTTCGTAGCTGGGATTACTCCAAGAGATTCTCCTGCCTCAGCCTCCTTAGTAGCTGGGATTACAGGTGACTGCCAGCATGCCTGGCTAATCTTTTTGTATTTTTTTTTCAGTAGAGATAGGGATTTACCATGTTGGCCAGGCTGGTCTCAAACTCCTGACCTCAAGTGATCCGCCCACCTCAGCCTCCCACAGTGCTGAGATTACAGGCATCAGCCACTGCGCCCGGCCCAGATAGGCTTTGTTGACAAAGAGAGGAAAACAAGGAAATTATATATTTTTACATATCAGAACTTCCAGTAAATTAACATATAACTTTAAAGTAGATGACTTTAATTTTTTTTCTGGCATTAAAAAAACAACAAAAAAAACAGAGCAAACAAGCAAACAAAACCCTTAAAAACTCTGAGCTAATGAATGCTGTTACCTATGTCTTGTTAATGCTAGAAAATATTGATAATATATGAGGAAAAAAATTAGTTGTAACATCATTACTTACAAAATCAGAAAATAATTTGGAGAAGAATTCAGAGAACATAGTTTCACAGAAGTTATCGGTGGGAAGCACTTAGGTTATTCTTCTGTGCTCAGTATTTCTCCCAATTTCTATAGAAAACAGTACTGGTACTTGCCTTTTCACACAGTTCTTGAGTTTTGTACCTCATATACAAACAACTGTTTAAAAATGGTCTCCTGATGCCTTCCTTCTGCCACTTCTGCAGCATTTTGGTCAGACAGGCAGTTTCTAAGAGTCCCACAGTGGTGTAGCCTACATTAGCTAGCTCACAGGGACTGTGACATCCAGATACTGCCTTCAATTCATATATGACAGTCACAGAACTCCCCTTTTCTCTGATAATTACTCAAATAAATTTTCACAGAGCCTGGTAACTTTCTCAAAGTATAGTGGGAGCTGCATTGTCTACTAAGGACAAGACTTTTCTACCTTAAATAAAGTCAAAGCATGGCCATTGTAATGAATGAACTACAACTTGATATTTTAACTCAATGTTTCTGTCTGATCTCCTACCAATACCATACCTTCTGTTCCCAGGATCCATGTGTTCTTGAGCTACTGTTTCTAGAAAAGGAAATAATGCAATCCATTTATTAGAATTCATGTATTAAAATGGAACTTCTTGTCTAATAAGGATGACCATTTTTGTTTTCTCTTTACTGAAATCATATGTAAAAATAACTGCCCTGATTTTTAATAGCGCTTACCATCCACATATGGAACAAAGCCTGCATGTGGCTATACCTCTAGGTGAAAAGGCAATAGATTTCACTTGTTCTTGCCCTCACTGATTTTTAGCTTTAGTATTTATTAAAGCTATTGAAAGTTACAATGTACCTATAAATCAAAAGGTTTTTGGGTACATCAGAAAAGCATTCATTTTACAAGAAGATTCATCTTATGATTGTAAGAACACTCACATACATACAGAAGTATTTCTGTACCCTTTTGATTATTCTATTTCAGTTTTTTTGACAATGATAATTACATCTCCCTCATACCCCTTTGTCATTTAAAACACATAACATGTACCTATGTACTTCTTCAGAATCCCAATCTTTGGTAATTTATTCAGACAATTCACTTAAAAATAAATGTAAATAAAAATATTAGGTAAAAGCTTTGAATGGCCTAAACAATTACTATCCTTTACAAACATCAAAAAATACTCACTAAGATAAAAAAGATGGCCTGTTATTTGTTATTTGTGCGACTGTGTTTTTCAATTTCTTAATGCAATTCATATTTACTGATATTAAACTAAAGAAAAACCAGATGCTTAATTCTAAAAAATGCCCAAGGTAAAAAGACTAGGAAACAACTTCTCTATGCCTTTCTATTACAACAGTCCAACCTAAGGTCCAACATAAGAAATCTCCTTGGGCCAGTATATTCCAAAGTTAACATCACTGACCACCCCATCATAACCACAGCTTGTTCAAAAACTCACCCCAAACCTGCACAACCAGTATACCTACATTTTAAACAAACACTTATGGTAATTCTTGTGGACACCAAAGTTTAAGAACTACAGTTTTGGCTGGGTGCGGTGGGTCATGCCTGTAATCCCAGCACTTTGGGAGGCTGAGGCGGGCAGGTCACCTGAGGTCGGGAGTTTGAGACCAGCCTGACCAACATAGAGAAACTCTGTCTCTACTAAAAATGCAAAATCAGCTGGGTGTGGTGGCACACGCCTGTAATCCCAGCTACTTGGGAGGCTGAGGCAGCAGAATCGCTTGAACCCGGGAGGTGGAGGTTGCGGTGAGCTGAGATCGCACCATTGCACTCCAACCTGGGCAACAAGGGTGAAACTCTGTCTCAAAAAAAAAAAAAAGAGCCACAGTTTTAGGCATTTCAAACACCATCATTTCTGTCTTAGTGCCTTAAATTAACATTGGAATGCTGCAATTTATCACCAATGTTTATCACCACCTAGTGGTAAACTCCCTTATTTCTACTTTCCATGGGTTCGTTCATACTGAATAGGATCCCAATTAAGAGACAACAAAATTCAGAGTAAGTTAGAATTTTAGAATAATAATTTCCTGGGTATTTTTCACTACCTTTTTATCTATGGTAGATTAAATCTGTGGAACTAAAAATACTGAACATTTTCTAAGTGTATTTAACCATGAAGAATTCTTTCTAGTATTTCAAGGAACATAGTTTGGAACATGTTGCTTTAGAAGCAGCAAATTTGACAGTTGCTTTCAGCAACCTACCATACAAGACCTCAGTTAATTAATTTACAAGAAGGCTTTAATCAGGCTTATTTTAAATGTTATTTCTTATTTTAACTACATACTTGAGAGCTTTATTGAGATGTATTACTTATTATTTTAAAAAGTTTTAAAGAAATATATACTAATAAAACTCCACTATGTTGGCAGTTTTAATAACTAACATTTGCTGGGCATCCAAGTATTTATATATTATGTTCTCATACTCAAAGTGCATCTAAGAAGTAGATATTAAGGTGAAGACATAAACAACTAGATTACTAAATGCTATTTTTTAGGTTCTAGAATTTCCTCATTCTAAGAAAAATCTAAAATTCTGGCTTTTAAAATACAGTTTTAGGGATCAACTTCAAAAGACAGGAAGAGAGGACCAAGGCTAAAAAACTGAGAGGATTAAGATGAAATGCACTCTGAAGCTGAAGTAAGCATTGTTTACTGAGACATGCAATTGGGAAGGAAAACAAAACAACAGGTTGCACTGAAAAAGCAAAGTGTTTTGTAGGTAGAGAGGTATCATACAATCTCTTTAAAATTTATACTATGATTCAAAGAAATACATCTAGATAAGGCACCTTACTCTTAACCACAGCTGTTTGCTGGGACTGGCTGCCTGACTGGTAGAAGGGAGAAACTGGGATCATTTAATCTGAATAGAGAATGTGGAGGGCTGGCCAGGTATATGACGGCTACCATATGACAGATTCAAGTTCTCCTAGAAAGCCCAGTGAAATACTTTAATAGGGGAAAACTGTAGTAAATAGGATCTTATCTCAATTGAGAAGATTAACCAGAGATGCAATGGACTCAGGTAGGAGGTAGAGAGCTCCTTTCTGTAACTAAGTGTTACTTTTACACTGTTTAGATTAACCACCTGGAATAAATATTTTTGAGGTAATTCGAGCATTACTTACATGGCAGAGCCAAATAACTTGTAAAGAACAATTTAATTCCAATCTGTGAAAACTGAACTATATGTACCATAAATGAGTTTGGTATAACTACACTTATTTTTTGGTAATTAATCCACAGCTCCCCTCATTTAGGTTTTTCATTACTTAAAAAAAAAAATTAAAAACAAAGAAACGGAGGACAGTGGCTATTCACAGGTATAATAACAGCACTCTATAGCCTCGAACTCCTGGGCTCTGGCACTCCTATCGCCTCAGCCTCCTAAGTAGCTGGGACCACAGTCACGTGCCACTGCACCCAGTTTTGCTTTCTCTTTAAAATACATCCTCTGACTCACAGAAAGATACCTGGCCCAATTCTTGTCAGCAGTTTTGCCTGTGATGATAAGACTAAATTTTCTTATCTAAATTTGCTAAAATCACTGACTTTTAAAAGAAAAGATTTTAGTTTTCCAGTGGAGATGTCCAAGTATAAGATACTCAATTATTAAGATTGCTGAATTTAATCTTTCGTCGTTAGTTTGAGTCAGAATGTGAGAAGTATAATGAGGAGATAATTATGTTTTAACAAATGCATATTATTTATAATACCTTTTTATAAAAAGTGCCAAATGCTTGATTTAGATATACCTTTTTGATACATATCAATTCAACTCCAGAGCTAATAAAATTTTTTTGTTAAAGTTTTTAAAATACAAGCAGAATAGATTCCTAATTTTAAATCTTTATTTAGTTTTAGTTTTTATTTTTGAGACAGGGTCTCGCTCTGTCATCCAGGCTGGAGCAGTACTATTGTGGCTCACTGTAGCCTCGGTCTCCTAGGCTTAAGCAATCCTTCCACCTCAGCCTTCTGAGTAGCTAGGATTACAGACACACACCACCACGCCTGGCTAACTTCGTAATTTTCTGTAGAGACCAGGTCCTCTATGTTGCCCAGGCTGGTCCCCTCTTGAACTCTAGGGCTCCAGTGATCCTCCCACCTTGGCCTCCTAAAGTGCCACGATTATAGGTGTGATGAGCAACCACTGCCAGCCTTAATTTTTAATCTTTAATTTCAAAATAACTATACCTCCTATTGTAGTCTGTTTTGAAAATTCCTTACATTTCATATTTTTGGAGTGGCTATTATTTCTATAAAGATAAAAATGTCCATCCCCCTAAGCCACTGACATTTATTTAAATTTATTATCAACAAGTTTTAATTTTTTTGATCACTGTTCCCTTATAATCTTAAAAGAGCTTTACAAAATTACCAACACATTTTGGTATAACTAAAAAAAATACCGTATAAAATATTTCCAATGATTTTGTCTTTTGTCCTTAGATTAAGTGTAAACAGTTAAGCTCCATGTATAGATTGAGTAGCAATTACTATATTTTATTGACTCTAAGATGCAATTGATTGAAAAAAAGCACCTTTTCATGTTTTATTAAGAAGGAAAATAAGGTTGTTAATTACATTATGCGATACAACTGATATCGAGATGCTTCTACTTTCAGGGGTGTTAAAATGAGAAAGATGTGCATCTCAAAATCAATGACATATGTCATTTAGTCAAATTCTAAAGACTGTCTATTAAATTTTTCCGTTCTTGTCTTTCGCATAAATAAGTCATGATTTAGTTAAGCAAAGAAAACTTTATTTCTGCTACACGTAACAACATATTGCTCTAAGGAACAACTACTATATTCGTTTTAGCATTAATGTATGGATTCAAAAATACATGTCAGCAATCCCTGCTTCCCAGACAAAACAATGCTGTACACAGACTATCAGGTATATGAAAAAAAAGCTGTCAACTGTCCACAGGGAATGCGTCCAGTCACATTTTCAGTCAGTCAGCTGAGGATTATGTCATTATTTAGTCTTTGTTCTGTAGAAAGAACACAACACAAGTATGAAAATCATCACCTGAAAGGAAAGGAAATAGCTGTTGTAGTATTCCTAAAATGTTAGGAATTGTTCCTTTATTTCAATATACCCAATGTTATCTGCTTAATCACAGCTGCCCCCAAATAAAACCAAACTTACTCAGAAGGGCGATGCAGGTGCTGAATTTATAGAGGGAAAGTGTTGTGAATTAAGAAAAAATCTGATTCTCTGAAATACTAAAATTTCTATTTTCCTCAAATAGAGAATTACATTGTAGTTATCAGACCCATCTCAAAATGGAACTCAACTACTTTCAGTGTTATATCCTTGGATCAGCTGCTTCTATTTCCTGGGCATGACTCACTTAATCCCAGGCCCATACCTCAGAGATAAAATAAACCAGCCTTCATGAATTGTGTTTGCAGCCTCTTAAAAATTAAAGAAACAAACAAAAAAGTGCACCTACCCCCCAAAACTTGTCATAATCATATAAAATTTGGGAAAGTCTTCCACAGTATTTTATCGAACCTTAAAATAAGGTAATATATTTATTTAATACACCAACAAAGAAGAAGAGTCTCATAATGGAGTCCATTGTAAATAGAAGATCCGCAGCAAAAATAAAAAAGCCATGCTGCAATTAGAAGAAATTCAAAACCGTGTAGCTAATCGTATCCTATCCAAATAGCCATTTCAACTAACCTGACCCCTATTTTATCTCTGCCCTGAATATGTGTAACAGTTCAAAAAAGGGAAAAATGATAGATTAAAATTTTTGTGAACAGCCATGCTGAATATGCAATTCCTCTAATGTAGGAAATTGGATGAGTTTCAGGGAAAAATGTGGTATTATAAGGCTTAGTTCTCACAGTACCAACTGGCCATGAGGTAGTTTTATATCATTATACTTTTAGTTTCTGATCATTTGGATGTCATTATTTTAGATAAGAGGACATCTCAAAGGTTTCACTGAAGCTACAAATGCAAGAGTTTTAGCTTAGACTTGCAAAGCCTTTTTTTCATTTTACAAGGAATTTTGTTGACTCATTGTCTCTCAAAAGCCCTATGAGAAAACTGGGGCTCAAAAAGGCAAAGAGGGTCAGGTGCAGTGGTTCACGCCTGTAATCCCAGCACTCTGGGAGGCCGAGGAAGGCAGATGACTTGAGCTTAGGAGTTCAAGGCCAGTCTGGGCAACATGGCAAAACCCTGTCTTACAAAAAAAAAATTACCCGGGCATGGTGGCACATGCCTGTAGTCCCAGCTACTGGGGAGGCTGAGCTGCAAGGACTGCTTGAGCCAGGAGGCAGAGTTCGTAGTAAGCCAAGATCAGGCCACTGCACTCCAGCCTGGGTGACAGAGTGAGATTTTTTGTTCAAAAAAAAAAAAAAAAAAAAAAAAAAAGGCGTAGAGACCAGCTCAGTCACAGTTAAATGGCTTTTTATTTTAAGCCCAATATTCTCTTTAACATGTAAATAATCATTAGAAAAGGTTCAACCATAAGAGTAATTTATATAGTTTTCTATACTGAGAAGTCTAAAGTCTATATTATTGTCCTTTTTAAGGACAAAGATTTATTGAGTAAAAGCAAGAACTATTTCCTATTCTTGAAATATTCACAGACTAGAAAAAACACATTTTTTGCATGCTAGAGAATAGCTTGTCCAAACAGAATTCATTCTTAACATTTTATCCATAAACAGGAAAAAATGCTTGCTAATTCTTTTTCACTGCCAATTTAATATACCCAGGGTTAAATTGCTAACAATGTATGGTATGATTAGAGTGGTTTTGTCATTTAATAAAACATTTTAAAAGATTTTAAAATTAGGGTTATTCATAATGGGCCCAATGGGCACTTTCTCTTGTCAAATGCCTTCTATGAAGGAGGAACTAATTATGTGATCTGTTCTAGGAGAGGAAGGGTCATCAGCAGTGAGGCCTGGCAGGATTCATTCTCATATGTGCTAGCTCACACAATTGGTCAGAAAGAAAATCTTAAGTGAAAAAAATAAAGGTTTCAAGCCAGTAACTTCAAACTGAATTCAAAGTGCCTGCCATCTACTACATTTGACCTATAGTAGACTTGGAAAGTTGGTGTGTGTGAACAGGAAAACAGCTTCCCCTGAAATTCAGAATTATTTTACAGAATAAAAAAAGCCAAACTTTAGGCTGGGCACAGTGGCTCATGCCTGTAATCCCAGCACTCTGGGAGGCTGAGGCGGGCAGATCACGAAGTCAGGAGATCGAAACCCGGTGAAACCCCGTCTCTACTAAAAACACGAAAAATTAGCCGGGTGTGGTGGTACATGCCTGTAGTCCCAGCTACTGGGGAGGCTGAGGCAGGAGAATCGCTTGTATCCAGGAGGTGGAGGTTGCAGTGAGCTGAGATCTCACCACCGCACTCCAGTCTGGGTGACAGACCAAGACGTCTCAGAAAAAAAGATAAAAAAAAAAAGCCAAAGGAATATTTCCCCAAACCACACAGATATAAACTAACTGTCACAGTCAAAGAAATTGTAGTTTGATTTTTGGAAACTAATAAATAAAATAGGAAATGGAATTCATATGGCTGTATGTATCAAAATTTACAATAAAGAGTTTTTGGTAAATTGTTAGGTTTTCTTAAAAAATACATATATGCACACGAGAATATTTTCTGAAGGTACTGTTTTAATGCAAAAACTCATAAATATAAGTCCAGAAAACACCAATATTTAGGTTCAAAAGGTCCAAAAATGATATATTATTTGATATTGCTTTTTAGGCATTTCATTAGAGAGAAGTCAAAACATTATCTTTCTAAACGACTGTTATAAATTACCTCAATTCATAACTCAAGACACCAATTCTTCAAGTTAAAAATCTTTAGAAGTATTTCAATTTTTTTTTTTAAAGCAATCCTTATTCTAGCACTGGACAATTTTAAAGTTTATATAAGCACATAATAAAAAGTCAAATTCTTAAAATCTAAGATTTCACAAACAAAAAACAATTATCTTTCTAAACTGAAATGTGATTTTATTTTATAGAAGGGCAAAAACATTCTTCAGTAAATGTCAACAATTTTTAAAGTTTAAATAGTTGTAAAGCTCTTTTAACTGACAACTTCTAAATCACTAAAAAGAAAAGTTCATAAAGTACTTACACATATTCCTCATATACTATTTACTCAATATGTTTTAAAATTCAGATTAAAAAGGGCTTACCTCAAGAATCAGTAAGTTCTTTGCCGTTTGTTAGACTCTTCTCTTGGCGAATCTGCCAGCATAACTTTAAGTCTCACCCCATTCAGAATCTTCCCATGTAGAGTGGCAATAGCATCATTAGCACTTATTCTATCGGCATACTTGGCATACCCCACATTTTTTCCTGATACAAGGTAAACTTCGATCAGGTTACCAAAACGACTGAAACAAAGTGAAAAAAATAATCAACGAAAATTGATAAATACAGCTTCTCAGGTCTAAAATTTGGAGTCCATTCTTGACTCCTTTTTCACCCTTCTCCCCACATCTGACATCCAACTCATGTCATCTTAAACATCTCAGTCAGTCAATTCTATTCATTCTCATTCAGACGATCATCTTTTCCTTAATCTAATTCCTTTTTCACTAGTTTCCTTACCCCTGGGCTTGTCCCTCTTCAATCCATTTTCCACTCTGTCTTTTCAGTGATCTTTCTAAAACATAAATATGATCATTTACTCCCTAAAAGTCCCCTCTGCAGCTCCCCACTGCCTCCATGGTAACAACAAATCCCTTAAGATAGCTCGAGAGCCTTTCTGACATGGTCCTTGGACTCTTTAGTTTCATCTTCCCTAACAATCTCTCAAATTACCTATAATAGCCCTTCTTTTATATTCTCTATGGCAGAAATAACCATGCACACCCCCAGCTTTCACCTGTGGAGAAATTATTTTTATCCTTCAGGTCTCCACATACACCTGCCTTCTTTCAAGGCTTCTCAAGAGTTTCTAAGGTAACTGCTCCTCCTATGTATCTTACACGTTCCTTATCACAGCAACAATCACACCGGGTTGTAATTTTCTGTTTACCTGTCTGTTTCCTACATGAGATCAGCTCTAAGATGACAAGAACTATAATGTCTTGTCCATTTAATATTTTGTTTACATAATGTCTCTTGTACTTAGCACAGTTCCTGCCTTGAACAAAGATGAGGTTCAAGAAAAAAACTAAATATATCAGTTAAATAAAGGTCAAACTACTTGAACCATGTCCTGATTTTTTTTCCTTTTGAGCCTCAATATACTATCACATTATGTCCCTGATATTTTGTGCAGTTCTTTAACAAGTTTTCTATCTATCTAATTCACTAACATTCTTATAAAGCAAATGGGAAAAAGGCCTAAAAGAAAAATCGAAGAAAGGAGTTATGTTAAAAACACAAAAATAAATAAGAAACTTCTCTTTTTTATTATAAAAAACATTTATATATATTTCCCTACAATCAAGTAATTGTTTACACAATGCGACTGGATAACCCTTAAGGATCCAACAACGCACCAACAAAACAGAAGATGCTTAGTAAAAAAAACACTAAAACCAAAAAGGGTCTCACTCTGTCACCCAGGCTGGAGTACAGTAGCACAGTCTTGGCGCACTGCAACCTCGACCTCCTGGGCAAAAGCAATCCTGCCACTTTAGCCTCCCAAGTAGCTGGGACCAAAGGCATGTACCATCATGCCTGGCTAATTCTTGTCTTTTTTGTAGAGATGGGGTTTTGCCATATTGCCCAGGCTGATCTTGAACTCCTGAGCTCAAGCGATCCTCCCACCTCAGCCGCCCAAAGTGTTGGCATTACAGGCATGAGCCACTGCACCAGGCCCATTTTATGTCTTCAAAAACAAAGTAGCAGGAAATTCTGTATGGAGCCTTAGGATGTGTGACTGATAAACAAGAGAAGAAAATAATCAGAAATTGAAAAAGGTGATACAAATGAGGAGTTTTTAAAACCAGAGAACAAATCATCTCTACCTGATAGGTACTGGAGGAAGGAAGTGTCTAGATTATGAGAATAATTAAATTACTAGTGTAAATAAAATATAACAAAAAGTGTAACTTTCTTACCAGAATATATCTTCTAATACGTCTAAAGGTAAAGGATGAGGATTAAACACAATAAAAAGTCTTTCTTTCACAGGAGTTTCAGGAGGGGCTTTTTTTTTGCATGATGGAAGTACAACATCTGTCTGGATTTGAGGCAACTGTGATCCAGAGCTTCCTCCAAATTGCTGTTAACAGGTAGAAAACAAGAAAAATAAAAAAATGCCCTTTACGGATTTTTGGCCAAGAGCTAAAGACAGATATGTATCATGGCATCTATGTGGTCTTCCACTATAGCTCTGAAAATTTTCTTACATAGACAATCAACAAAGTATGATTTCTCTTCACATTTATTTTATACGCTATTGATATATTATAAAGGTTAAATTCTTACCTACTTACCATAAGTTGTTGCTGACTTGGGTTATTCCACACCATTGATGCAAGCTGTGCAGCTACCATCTGTGTTGCCATTTTTCTAAGGAGACTGGAGACAATAACTGATAATTTACAGAAAACTAAAAATATTCAGTCTTTTAACAGTAACTTGTTTTGTGTGACTTTCTCACCTGAGAGGTCAACTGTTTTCTATTTTTATTCTTCAAGTCCTATCAATCATGTACACTCAAAGCTCGGCTTTAGACACTCCTGGAATGGTACTTACTCTGTTGCATTACTTCCATCATCAATGAAGGAAACACCTATTCGATTCCCAGGAGGGTACTGAAATCCATGTAATTTGTATTTTGCATAAATAGCTGATGCTACATTAAAATACTGAACCACTCCATGACCTAAAATAGAGAATATGCAGAAATGAAAAAGGAAAGCAGATTGAGTGCCTAAGGCCTATGTTACAATCTATCTCAAAAGTGAAACCATATAGAACTCTAATATCACATAACTAGTAAATACAGAGTCAAATGTATCAGAAAACACAGTTCTGTTATCATATGTGCAACAAGTGTATTCCTACAAAAGGAAGAAATAACTTAGGGAAAAATATGAACATGATATTTTAAGGAAAATGGAATATTAACATACACCCTGTCTAATAAATTTAATTTTAGGATACTGGCTCTTCTTATACGACACCAATATACTTAAAAATCTAAATTTTTATTCTTTGAAATCTACTTTGAAATTTTAAGATTTTCCCAACCATACTGGGTAGGAAATGGAATGAGAAGTGATAGTTGAAAAGAATATATACTCATCCTGGCTATCTGCAGCAGTAGAGAGAGGAAAAGTGATTTGAATGAAAAACAAAAAGATAGGGAACAGAGGATCTCAGATCACAAGTGACATATTTTACATTCCTTTGGAGAGATTTCTGCCAAAGGGATGAATTTCAATTTAGGAGGGTGATGCTGAAGGCAGGGACAATGTTATAATGCACTCCTTAGAGAGCCCAGGAGCTTGTGACACAACCAAAAGGTTTTCACATTTATAATACAGACCACTGGGGAAACACTTATAATTTATGTTCATCTGGAAACCCAAGCATTCAATATTTTAATGGAATTAAAATAAAATGCAGAAATCAAATGACCATATAAAGTTAATTCAAATGAGATTCGAACTATATGATGACACCTCTGTTAATAAAAAGATGTTCCAATGACACATATGTTTCAGACACATCCAACCAGAGAAACAAAACAGGAGGTACAGGAACAAATACATTTCAACATACCAGATAAAAGGGAGGGAACAAAACAAAATAAACACAACTTCATATGCGTATAACAAATGTGCCAGAGAACACAGAAATGTGTACCTAGAAGTCTTAGAACGGAGAATGACAACATATGATCGGGTTAAGGTTGGGGATGGCTCAAAGACAGCTCTACAAAAAGACTAGTGCTGGGTCAGGTACTAGTGAGTATGTAGGGGTGTCTGTATGAAGGGTGGAGTTACCTTAGTCCTGTTGGTCCACATGACCAAACTCACATCACTACTTCTATGTCAACAGCCATGTCACTCTAAAAGGACTAAATCAGGTATCCTTACAAAACTGGAAGAAATGCCAACCAAGTATGATTTCTCTACCACCCCTCACTAACAAAGAGAAAAAAACACCTTAGATTTACTGAGTGCCCTATTACATGCCAGAACTTGCATTAGGTTATTTTACATATATTATCTCTAATTCTTACCCAACCCTGGCAAAGAAGGTGTCAATGATCCCATTTTACATATGAGCAAAGAGAGGCTCAGAGGGGATAAGCAAATTGCCAAGGTCTCAAAGCTACATGCCACTGCTGGGATTTGTACTTGATTCTGATGCAAAATGGAATGCCAAACTTTCCCATTATGCCACAATGCCTCCATTAACAAAGAGCCTTAATAAAATCAAACGCTTAAAACACAAAGATGGGTTAGCTAATGCTAGATAATGGGTGTAATCAATTAACTAATTAATAAGTTCAAATGGCTGATGTTGGAGTCTTGCTTCCACTGAGAATTGGAAGAAGCAGAGAGAGAAGTAGGGCATTTAGATGCTTGGAATGAACGGAAGGAGGGATATAAATTTAAGAGAAAGAGATCTAGGGATGAATGAGGAGGAAACTTTGTGAGTTTCATAACTTTGTCTAGCATTAACCAAAAGAGTACACAGAGACAGAGGCTCTATCCTGAGGCATTTTTGGTTGTGCAACTGGAATACAGAATGTTATATTTTGTGGGAGTTAAAATATATTTTACAGTGAATAATTTTGTAAAAAGAAGATATATTTCCAGGGCTTTGTTTATTAAGGTATCACCATATTTTGAAGTCTAAAGTAGAGAAAAAGGAGAGATAAAATTCCTCTCACATGAGCAGTATCTGACATAAAAGTGCCACTAGAGAAAAGCCATTTTAACAAAACTCTGTGTGTGTGTGTGTGTGTGTATATATATTTTAATGTGAATATTATTTTACCATAATTTGAATAAGGATCTCGTTGAACTTCACAATATTCCAATCCTGGTACTATATCAAAAATGCTGAAAAGCTGTTCTTCAGTGAAAGGAACTCTTGATACAACTGACAAGCGTTTGGAGATTGCTTCCTGGCCACGGCTGTCATTCTTGTCAAAACTTGAAAATTCAGATTGTTGTTCTCCAACAATATAAAAAAAAGTAAATCTTTAGATTTCTACACAGCCAACAATTCATTTAACATTTTAAATACTAGAATACAAAGAGTCCATTGTACTGAATAAAAGCACTGCATTTTGTAATAGGCTTCTGGTCATCAGAACTACTGATGAGACTAATGACAAGAAAACAGACAACTCTCCCCACTCCCTTACCTTTAATGCAGAAATATAAGAAGAAATGCATAGTCTAATTTCACAGAAATAAGTTTAGTATGCAAAACTGAAAAATATGGCAAGTATTTTACCTGAAAGTTTATGTCAAATAACATTCACAGGCCTTACTTTCATTACCCATTTTCCCCTTTTTCTATTAGAGCTTCTACTTTTACCATTTCTCTCTTTTCTGTAGCCCTAATTTTAAAGCAGCAGTAGTTCTGGGACAAAATTTTAGGACTCATACTGAGAGGATATCTACATATGTCTTTTTAAGTTTTTGGTCAGCTGTATAGCAGCAGAAGCTCACCCAAAAAAGTGGCAGTGATATGTGGCAGTGGCAATAGTTTCTAATATGAGGAATGCGTAATTAAACAGAGAAAACTATAATTAGAAATCAGTTAAACAAAATAAGTATTAAATATTAAGAACTTTAGGAGTCATAATCCACTTTTTAGGAATAAAAAAAACCTACATTTAAGATTTTTAATCACTAGGTGAAATTTATAGATGCCCGATAACAGAGTATTTTTTAAAACCCAAATTAGATCGCATATACTACATTATACTATTAAAAGTAAAGGTCGTCTACTTACCAAATGGAAACATATTTACTCTAGGTTCATGTCCCAAAGCCTCTTGCCTCATATTACTATAATAATCTTGTTCAGAGGATTCAGATGCTTTATTTTTAGGTTCAGCCAAGATTGCTCTAAAACCTGAAAAGAAAACTCATGAATTTCAAGTTTCATAGCAAATTTAACATACCTGCAAATATACTTGATTGCTAGTGCCTGACTCAGCTTTATAAATATAATTGTACAAAGGAAAATCTATACAATGGCCATCTCCTCCAGACCTACTTCTTTGCTTTCTGGAAGATGGCAAAGAGTAAATGACAAACAGCAAGTATACCAAATTATGGGTCAATGTAGACATGAAAGATCAGCAATTCTATGCTATTCCTTCCCATCTTCCCCTGTTACAGATAATATCATCATTCATTCACTTAAGCTCCTCAACATCAAAATCCTGTAGGGCTTCTTCATATTTAACCTGTCACCAACGTTCTTCCTTTGAAATGCGCACAAATGGAATATGCTATCTTTTACCCTAACTTCCCTGCTTCTGTTTTTAATTTAGATTCTCTTCAGTTAATTACAACAGCCCTTTAACTGGATTTTTTTTGCTTCTGGATCAAGGGTTCTTAACTAGGGGACCAAGGATGAGCTTCAAAAGGTGGGAAGACTCCATGAACCCTCTGAAACTTTAAATAAAATGCTTATTATGCATTTATGTGCACATGGGCATATTTCAAGGGTTCAGTTTTCTTCACATTATTCAGTGACTTAAAAAAGGATAAAACCAGCTCGTTTGAATTCTTCTCTGGAAATCTATCATTAATACTGTGGGGTTAGATCAACTGTTCTTACTTTTGTCTTTCTAAACAATCTACAAAGGAATTCTAATGCGGACTAACCTTGAACTTTTCCTAACCTCCCATATATTGTTCCCATGTTCCAATGTACCTAGTTAACTGTGTCTCAGAATGTCTCAACAGAAATACTGTGCTTTACTCAGACAGCTGCCTTCACAGTACTAAGCGAAAGACATGTTTATTCCTGGCATGGTGCCTCTGCTAGTACTGCTCTCACGTTCTGTCCTGCCTACTCGACACCAGACACAAGTCCTATCCCCTCGGCATGTGTTGCCACGCTCATCCAGCACACTTTTTTTCCACCATTGACAGACTCTAACATACACTTATGAACATTTTTTTTTCATTTGGCAAATTCTTACTGAGTCTACTATAAATGGCAGTTACTTTTATAGAGAGCTTAATAAATCTTTATTGAGGGCCTATTATTGTACTAGATACCTGGAGTGACAGACTAATAAGACATACTTCTTGCTTTCAAAGAGCCTTTTTAAAAAGTTCTTCCATTATTCTTTATTTTTTTGCCTATTAGATCTTGGCTACCCAATACAGCTATAAATTCCTTAAATGTGAGGGCTGCCATATACTTCATCTGTATCTCTCTACCTAGCATATTGATCAGTATACTGCAGGTACTCAGTTAGTGCTGGCTAAATGAGAAATTCAGAAGGATCTAAGAGAAAATTTTCGCATGTACCTTCGGGGTATCTAAGAATTCTACTGATTAACAGTAATTCTTTCCAGTATGTGTAGATTTTTATAATGTCCTAAAATCCAGTAATTTAATCATTCTACATATCAATATACCTAACTAGAAGTATACGAACAAAGAATATTCTCCTTGACATCTTTAAAATTCTTATTCTTTATATATACAGCAACATCAGAAGATCACATTCATGTCATTCTAGCTTGAAATTAACCCTATCTATATCAATTACCTATGTTAGCACATCTTATAAATCTTATCCTTAACCTATAGGTTTATTAATTATACTTTATACTCTTTGGGATGTAGATCAAATATAAACAAATATAAAGAATATTTTAAAAACCCTAAAAAGGTAAGTCAAGTTTTTAATACATAAAATTCTAAAATACACTTAAAAAACCCTAAAAACCTATACAAATAATACCCAAGGTATGCATTTCACTTACTAAGTTAATGTAGTTGTTCTTATTTCTTCAAGATAGTGCCTCAATGAATGTTTAATCATAGCCCCAAAATATTTTTCTTCCTTGGACTGTAAATATTTAGCCACTGCTAAAATTACATTAGCAGATACAGCTATTATCAAAAACCAATATTAAATTCAGTTATTTAGAATAATGAGAATTTTTTACAAAAGTTTTTAACAAAGTTAAACAAACATATCCTTACTTCGATCACAGTTTTCTATTGCTTGGGCAGCTTGTGATGGTTTTAAGTATCGTACATAGCCCAAACCTTTACTTTCTCCAGTGACTTTATTCTTAATAATGCTGCAATACTCGATATCTCCATACACCTAAAAGAGTTAAAAGACATGATTTCCGGGGACATAAAATTAATTGAACAGAGTATTTCAGAACCAAAATGTTGTTTATATGTTACCCTTGCATGCAAACAAAGAAATGAACAGTATAAACTATGCAGATATTGCAATATGCAAATATGCTTATTTCACAGACGAGGAAGCTAGGCTTTAGAGAAACCAAAGAGGGATAAAGTCACAGAAGAGGAGTAAGAATTTGTACATGGTCTGGATAGCTCCAAAGTCTTGCTCAACAGTGGTTAAGAGCCAGAGCTCTGGAATTAAACCTTCTAGATTGAAATCCTGAATCAACCACTCATTAATTAGGCAGTTTACTTATTCTCTCTGTGCCTACCTCTTTATTAAATGGGCCTAACAGTAGTATCTACATCACAGGGTTGTTTAAGGGTTAATTGAAGTAAAACATGTAAAGTGCTTACATGGGGCTTGGAACACACTCAAAGAACATTAGCTGTAATTACTTGTCTGTCTTCTAACAGGAACATAAATGATTGTGTATTCTTTTGAAGGAGCGCTTTTCAAAGAGTATCTCTAAAATATGCTGGTTCACTCAGAAAGTTACTATTCTGAGAAACATGCAGTAGTGCTTACTTTTAATGTTCAAAGAAATATGCAATATAATTGATATTATTTATTTTATAAATTCTTATGTAATCAATTGTCAATTTAATTATCGTACACTAGATTAAAGTGTAATATTTGTTCATTGAGGAAAAGATAAAAATTTATAAATATTTAAGGTAAAAAACATTTTCCTTACCACTGGAGGAGGCATAAAATATATGTTTTTGGTATTTGCTATTTTTGAAGTATTTTATTGAATTTTCAATTGGGGTAGGAGCGAAAGTTTGAAAATTACTTTTTACTGCTTGTTTTCTTTCTTGCTTGTTGCCACCCAAATCATGGTAGGATTAGTAGAAAAAAGATAAAGAACTATAACTCAGAACAATTTAAAAATTGCTTTTTAATAATCTGTGTGAAAGCTTATCACTGCATAAGTTAATGGCTAAAAAGACAAAATTATCCTCAAATTTCATTTATATAGGTCAGAGCTATACTTATGTTTTCTTCTTTAAATATAACTCCTTCAAAGGCCCAATTTTAGGACAAGAACTCTTCAAAGAATAAGCCTTTCTGTGAATGAGTACCATGTCAACATACCATAGGCCTTTTCTAAATACTAGATAATACAGTTCACACACTCAGGTCTGCCTGATTTGCCTTTACATGCCAGGCAACAGAGGGGAGTGAAAAGAGCATGCTTTGAAATTTTAAAGACCAAGAGCAGGCTCCAGACTCCGATAGCCTGGGTTTAAATCATAGCTCTACGACCTACTAACTGTGTGACTTTACTTAAAAGTTTCTGAGTTTTATACTTCATTTCTGTGAATCTCTACTTTCACAATAAAGTAGGGGGAGACTACCATTACTATTTTTCAGTTTTTATATATTCTTTAATTTTAAAAACTAATTTATGCTAGGTTTAATATTTAAAAAGTAGATTGAAATTGATGAAAACAGTTATATAATTCCCCACGACTACTCTATTGACCTTATTCCAACGACACTTCAGATTTAGTACCCATACAACCTGTATAGGACTATGAGTTATCACATATGCTAGCTGATTAGAATAAGTACCTTAAATTTTTCCCGCAGATCTTCTTCTGTGTAGGACTTTGGTATCATAACAAAGATTCTTGTAAGTTCTTCATCTTCAACATCTCGGTGACTTCCAGATGATCGGGACTGTGCAATGAAAACCTAAGAAACAAACAAAACTCCCAAAATAAAATAATGTCAACTATTTTCCCATTTCTTAAATTTTTTTCAAAAGCAATTATTCTTGCAATGACTTTTTATTTATTTTTTTTGAGATGGGGTCTTGCTGTGTCATCCAAGCTGGAGTGTAGTGGTGTGATCATGGCTCACTGCAGTTTCAACATTCTAGGCTCAAGTGATCCTCCCACCTCAGCCTCCCAAGTAGCTGGGACCACAGACACATACCACAACACCCAGCTAATTTTTTAACATTTATAGAGACAAGGTCTTGCTATGTTGCCCAAGATGGTCACGAATTCCTGGGCTCAAGTGATCCTCGCACTTTGACCTTCCAAAATGCTAGGATCACAGGTGTGAGCCACCGTGCTGGGCCTGCAATGACTTTTTTTTTACGAGATAATACCAATCCCTGCATTGTTTTTTTCCCAAATGTATTTCTACTTTTGCATTTGTTTTTAGCCAGAGCAATTTGAATAAATGTAATATAATTAATTAAAACACCATAAACAAGGGTCCTTGCATTGTTTCTTTCTTTTTCCTTTAAAGGGGTCTCTATATCTTGGTCTCTAATCCACTGCTGGTAAAGGGGGCTCTATATCATCCAAGCATGAGAAAACTGGAACTTATGAAATTCCAGAGTAGGAAGCAGCAACTAAGAAAACCACAGTATTAGAGACATATCCCTTTATAGTCTACTTCTAGTTATTCCTACAGTAAATCTATGCTATATGTCAAGCACTATATGAGTACAACTATTGAGTAACACAGAAATGGCCCACTAGAGTCTTGCGGCTGATATCAGTAATAAATGATAAATAGGGAAATACAAATAGGGAAGTTTTAAGTATATGCAAAGACACTAGAGAAAAAACAAGAATCTCAGGTAAGATGAAATTGGAAGTGCCATCAGAACACAGATTTCTACATTTTAGAGGACTGAGGTGTTTCAAATCTCTGACAAAGGAGACAGTCTATGTAGAATGTATGTAAAATAATTAATCTCCTGATGGCAGATTTCTCCCATAAATTTTTACCTTCAAAGACTATGAGCGTTCATAGGCTCTAGATAAGAAGCATTCTTGCAAAACTAAAGCCAAGATTTTTTTCTTCTGTTTTCTAGGTTTTCCCCTTTCTGCCAGATAACACAGTTGGTCACAGAATAACTTTTACTTGGAAAATCTTTTCTGGCTGGGGCCTGGTATGATGATATTCTTGTGTTATAGATCCTCTGAAACTTTGCAAAAGCAAAGTACAATAGAAATACTGAAGCTGAATTAATTTAACTGGAAATGCTGAAAACAACACAAGAGTGTTCCAGTCGAAGATGGCTCAAGCTGCAGCTGCTGAATGAAACTAGGCTGTTAGGGTGTGGTGGCTCACAACTGTAATGGGAGGTTGAAATGGGAGGATCACTTGAGCCCAGGAGTTTGAGACCTGCCTAGGCAACATAGTGAGACCCTGTCTCTATGAAAAATAAAAAAATTAGCTGGGCATGGTGGTGCACATCTGTAGTCCCAGCTACTCTAGAGGGAGGATGAGGCAAGAGGATTGCTTGAGTCTGGGAGGTGGAGGCTACAGTGAGCTGTGATCAAGAAACGACTGCACTCTAGCCTGGGTGACAGAGTGAGATTCTGTCTCAAAAAAAAAAAAAAAAAAAAAAAAGAAAGAAAAGAAAAGAAACTAGACTGTCTAGCTAGGTACTACAGTGAAACAACCTTCTGGCTAAAACTGAATAGTAAAAAATGTGACAAAGAAAATAGTAAACTTTATTTCTTTTTGGGAACAAGATCTTTAATTTCTCTGCAGCTAAAAGAGAGGGTACATTTCAGTGCTGGGCCTTTAATTTCTCTTGTAGAAATTTATCAGGGGAAGGTGGTCCACCAATTTCAAATATGGCACAATTTTTTGGGTTGTCCAGATGGGCTCTGTGGCCATGTTACACTCAAAATAAAAAAACCCTCTCCACCAAGGTCATAATTGGACAGCGATGAAACTCATCAGTCTAGTACAGGGGTCTGTAAAAACTGACTGTCCTTAAAAACTGTAAAAACAGACAAGGATTTGTGACAGAGACTGTATGTGGCCCACAAACCCTTAATATTTACTGGCCATCCCTTTATAGAGAAAGTTTGTCAACTCCTGATCCTGTATGCTGTGACCCTAAATTAATTTTGTTGCTCTCCTATTCTGACACACTTCAGAGGGTTGGAGAGGTGGGAGGAAGGGACTGTTTACTGTGTTGCTGGTATATTCCCAGGCTCCTTCTCTTTTGTGCATGGAGCAAGACCTCCAGAGACTGAAATATCTCTGAGTCCTTTATTTACATAAGTCCATAATAATACCATTCTCAATTTGGAAAACAATTTTTTTAAAAATTGAGAAAACATTTTTGTGCAAAGTACCAACAGAATAACATACATAGCAACTATTTACATGGGGCAGACAAAGGGTACAATTTAAGCAATTGTCAGATTCTCAGGACTGAGTCCTGATTTGAGATCACAGGGAGTAAGCAGTGACATCTTGGCTATTACCGATCAACAACAAGGACATATTGAGGGCTTACCCTGTGCGAGGCACTGTGCTGAAAGCACAGATTGTCAAATAACCCTCAAAATGATCCTTCCTGACATGTGTCATTATCACAATGATTTGGCTCTTCTTAAGGCAGTTTACTTTGGTCTGCTTTCAAAGAAAATTTGCAGTAACAGAAAGGGTCAAGAACTAAATGTATGCTATTAACACTTTCAGAAACAGAGCTCATTCAAAATAATTTTCCAAAATAACAAAATGTGATGAATATGTAACAGTGACCGTTTTAAACACCTGCACTTAGTATTATATACATGTATTCTTTTGTCTGGTACTGGGAAAACGTCCAACACCAGAGGTCCCCAGTTTAAAGTACTTTTGTCAAGTTGTTAACACCTCATCTCTACCTGAGGAAAAGTAGAGTTTTTCCGTTTGTTATATATGGAAATTCTGGGTATCTGAGAGAGGAAGGTCAGAAAAGTACTCAAAGTAGGCTAGGACGAGTTTGGCAGTGAACTCAAGAGCTGGTGGATTAGTGAGGGCGAGGGAGAGGGGAGGCCCAGCCACTGCTGTTCTGTTACCGGGTGGCCGCGGTTGCCTGGTCCGCTCTCGGGGGGCAAACATTCTGCTTCCCGCCCCTTCCCTGCAACCCAGCGCAGCTTCGTGGGAGGGGAGCCTCTCTTCAAAGCAGCCCCTGTACCTACGCCAGGTGCTGTCTGGTCAGCTGCCGGGAACGGATGTTCCACTCCTCCCTCACCCCGGCAGAGCGGCAGGTGAAGGGAGGTCCGAAAGACCCACTCCTTCCCCCGAGGGCACCCCGACCCGGGTACCCGCACCTTGATGGGCTTGGTGTCGTTGGGGCCGAGGCACTGGCCATGCATCTCCTCCATGGCCCTGCAGGCCTGTGAGCTGCGGGCGAATTTGACGAAAGCAATGCCCTTGGACTCCTTAGTATGCTTGTCCCGCACCACCCAGATGTCCTGGATGTCGCCAAAAGGCGAGAAGCGCTCCCTCAGCACCGACTCAGGCGTGTACTTGCTGATCACAAGGAAGATGCGGCTGTTGGGCGGTTCGTCCAGGCTGTCCACGCCCGGGCGGAAGCCCCCGCCGCTCGCAGAGCTGCCAGCTTCGTCCATGGTACTCCACCTGAATGCAAGAGCCTCAGTGCTCTTTGCTTCTGCGGCGTCTGCCACCGCCGCTGTCCCACACCCAGCCTTTGCGGGCTCGGTGCTCCGCTTCCGGGAGAGAGAGGAGTCCGGCGCCAGGCGCTGTCCAGCCGCGCAGGATGCGGCCTTCCGGAGAGCGGCCTGCAGCGCCCCCTGGCGACGCGGGGGACCCTGACGCAGTCTAAGTCTCCAATCCAGCTGAGCTTCGGCCCAAGTTATCAGTTGTGTAATCCTTGTTCCCTGCAGGCAGAAAAGCGCTGCCTACTGCACGGGCTTTTCCAACGCTGGCTTTGGCTTTACCCCACCCCTAAGGCCAAGGATTCTTTCCAGTGTTAAAGAAACAATTATTCATGACACTCATTAGAGATGGTACAGGAAGGCCAACTTTGACAAAAGGAGACATGGTGATAGGTCCAGGGACAGCTGCAATGGGGTCTTGCAGTGGGAGAGAGAGATTGGACTGAATTTTGACTCTAATAAGGACACATTTCTAACCAAGAAGCTGAGTGGGAGGTCAGTGGATGGAAAATTACTAAGAGGGTACATCAGGGTTAAGGAGGATTCTGGCTAAATGAACTTGACAGGATACTTGCTGAAGGCAGGCCAGGGTGATTGATATCCATGGTGGTCAGATACTGGATTTTCACTACACTGATTCAGCAGGATTCTTGCTCAAATTGGATTCCACAAGGACAGACAGCCCAAGATCAAGCCTAGTCAAGCAAAGGACTCAGAGGAGCCTAAGTAAGTTTTGGTCAAAGAGGAGAGTCCTTTGTCACCATCTTGGTCATAAGCTCAATAGACGATCAATATAGGACAGAGTTCAAACTACACAGCATTAGAGTGAAAAGGAACATTTGAGATCATTCCATTTCAACCTCATTTGTTAGAGATGAGGAAACTGAGGCTATAGCATAGCTAAAGTAATAGAGATAAAAGTATAGCTAAAACCAGAACTAACTCAGCCGGGACTGGTGGCTCATGCCTGTGATCCCAGCACTCTGGGAGGCCAAGGCGGGTGGATCACAAGGTCAGGAAACCAAGACCATCCTGGCTAACACGGTGAAACCCCCGTGTTGAAAAATACAAAAGAATTAGCCAGGCATGGTGTCGGGCACCTGTAGTCCCAGCTACTCGGGAGGCTGAGGCAAGAGAATGGTGTGAACTCAGGAGGCAGAGATCGCGGCACTGCCCTCCAGCCTGGGTGATAGAGTGAGACTCTGTCTCAAACATCAACAACAAAAAACCCAGAACTAACTCCATTTGTTGATTTACTCAACTTCTACAAACAACCCTGGGGTTGGAGGGCAGTGAGGGTAGACTGCTCAGCTGTGGAACTAAGAGAAATCATAGAGTGCAAGCAAAGTGGGAAACGCCTTCTTGTTAACAGGCCTTAGAGGAGAGGTCAGAAATCCAGTAGAAATCCAGAAACAAGGCCTGGATTTAGCAGTGGCATTGGAATGAAGTGAAAGGAATAAACCCCTATGTAGACCGAGGGCAGAGTTCTTCAAATGAACAAGTTCTGGATGCTAAGACCTAGGTTGCTATGAAGTCAACCAGATGAATATTTACTGTGCTCCAACTATGTGCCAGGCTCCATGCCAGGAGCTAGATATATAATGAGGAAAAGGAAAGGCATGTCCTGAGGGCTTGTTTTCCCCCACTGTGGAAATCTGACATGTAAATATATAATGCAAAGTAATGTCAGATCATGTTACATGGTTTTGCTGCTGAATTGTGTGAGCTTGGACAAGTTACTTAATACTTGCAGCTTCAGTTTCCTTAATTGTAAAGTAGGAATAATATTACCTACTAAATAGGTAATACATATTATTTTATCGTTGGATTAGTTAAGCTTGATAGCCACCTAATATCACATGCAGGAGCATGACTATCAAGTTTAATTAATTCACCCATTCACTTAATCAATAAGTATTTTTGACTATGTTATATATATTAGGCACTGCGTTATACTGAAGGGATGTAGTATTGAACAAAATAATTACTCTTCTCCCCCACAGAGTTAATCATTTAGCCTTGTATAGTTATGCTCATATGAGATAATATATATAGAGTTCATAGTTTAGAGATCAAATGAGATAATATTTGTATAATGGCACAATCGAGTTTAATTTTCTTGTTCCCTTTGACTATGGTATTCACTCCCCCACCCCTGATATTGTACAGTTGTGTGATGACTACTGAGAGTCAGGGATTGTAGGTTGTTACCCTGGATTTAGCACTAACAAGATTTTTATAATTTCTCCTTGTATTACATTCCATATCAGTAATGAGGGCTCTGTTTACCCTGAGGCTGAGCAACTCTAGGAAGTATCTTTTCTTACTTTCCATTTCTTTTTATCCTACCCACAACAATCAAGGTAAATGAAAATAATTTGATAGTGTAATAATTTTGTTGATGAGAGGATGTGCAAAGCAATATTATTTGCAAACCAGTGCCATCTAGTGGAAAATGTGCAATTTTCTTAAATTGTCCTGACTGAGCAATCTCTATTCTTTGTGAAATAAGACTACTGATTGGTGTCCTGGAAATTTTAGGCTGTTATTGAGAACAGTTAATTTTTTTCTCAAAAAAAGATAAAAGATTCCATTAAACAAAACCAGGAACAGAAATATTGTAAAATGCCAAGAAAGCAAAATTTCTTTACTATTCAATTATGTGAAATATGACATATTCAAGGAAAGTTAGAAATTTACTTATAAATTTAAAAATATAGTAAGTACATTTTCTTCATGACATGTATTTATTTTAAACAGATTTATTAAGATATAATTATTCTTCTCATCTTTTCTTTCTTTCTTTCTTTTTTTTAAGGGATGGTGTCTCACTATGTTGCCTGGGGCAATCTTGAACTGGCCTTAAATGATTTTCTTGCCTATGCCTCCCAAGTAGCTGGGATTACAGGAGAGACCCACCACACCCAGCGAGATCTAATTCTTACATCATACAATTCACTCATTTGATGTATTCAATTAAATCGTTTTTAGTACCTTCACAGCATTGTGCAAGCATCATCACAATCAATTTTAGAACGTTTCATCACTCAATGACCAAATTGTTACACTTCAAATCATAAAACCTTTGAACACGAATTACATGTAACTAAAACACCTAAACTTCTCTGAGGTTTAAAAGAATGATTTTTAGTTAGTCTGCTTAATAGAAGAAACCAGGTGCTGGGCATTTGCAGATTAAATTTTTTTCAAGGCTTTAGAACATGTAGCCTATAAGGCACTGTTATTGGAATGTGCACACGTTTGTTTTGCATGAAATTCAGATTTTTTTGAAACCTTTTCTCCCTCAAATTTTTTCTTTTTAAAACGAGAGGTGATATTGTGACTAATTTTTGAATTGCCAGGAGCAAATAGTAAATTTTTGTCATTATTTTCCAAACTCAAGTACAATGAGACTTGCTTAGTTGGTGATATTAGTCTTCATATGTTACATTTAATTAACTAAAAGTGTTTTGCCCTATTTGCAAATTTTTTATAGGTTTTAAAACTAAGACTTATTGGTGATCAATTAGTAGCTTTCACATTGTTATATATGCATATGGTCCAGAGTTCCCATTTGACCTATCTGTAAGGCTTAGCCTGACCTGTGGCAGGCACTCAAGAAATGGCAGTCTCCTTCTTGAGTTTGCATGCCTTTGTTTGAGTTTGAGAATAAAATCTAACACCTGATTTTTTTTCACCATATACCTGCTTCTTTTGATTCAACTTGATGACATACATCTGTAGATCACAGAACAAAACTCATAGATTCCACTTAGAACAGTTTCATTCAAGCATCTGGTGACTGTGGCTATTTAAATTAAAATTACTTAAAATTACCTAAAATTAAAATGAATTATAATGAAAATAATTAAAAATTCATTTCCTCAGTTGAATTAGCCAGTTTTCGACAGCGCAAGAGCTATCCACACCCACAGCTACCGGACACCGGGCACGCACAGCCAGAGACTGCACAGCAGGTACAAGGCTTTAAGCCTCTGCGAGAGGTGGGATCCCACGGGATCTGGGGGCCAATCAGCAGTGCGACCGGGGCCCGGCTTGCCATTGGCTGGCGACCACTGGAAGCGCGCGACCAGCTGCGCCTGCAGCCAGGGCATGAGGTTCTGCTTCTGGATCGCCAGCCTCGTAGTTGAGGCGTGGAGTCTGGCCGGGTGGCTGTCCCAGGTGACTGCTGGGAGCGGGGGCGAAGGGCGGAACCGCTGGCCATTTTTAATGCCAATATTAAAAAGTATTTCATTAGCATTTCTCTTTTTATGAAAAGTAAGACATAGCAATGGTATGTACCCACCTAGTCCTCTTTAAGCACTCTCAGTTGGGTAAAAAAAAGTTGTAAGCTTCCGCAGTGTTTCAGGTGCCGTGTTCAACACAGGGTTGCCAAGTCACCCTTAAAAAGGAATTGTTGGCTGGTCATGGTGGCTCACGCCTCCAATCCCAGCATTTTGGGAAGCCATGGCAGGCGGATCACGAGGTCAGGAGTTCGAGACCAGCCTGACCAACATGGTGAAACCTCGTCTCTACTAAAAATAAAAAAATTATCCAGGCGTGGTGGCACACGCCTGTAATCCCAGCTACTCAGGAGGCTGAGGCAGGAGAATCGCTTGAACCCGGGAGGCGGAGGTTGCAGGGAGCCGAGATAACACCATGGCACTCCAGCCTAGGCGACAGAGTGAGACTCCGTCTCAAAAAAAAAAAAAAAAAAAGGGAATTGTTAAACCTGTAAGATTATAGATTTAATATTAATTTTTCTACACTGATTACCAACCTGTGATGGTAAACAAGTCACTTAATCTCTGTTTGCCTCATTTTTTACATCTATAAAAATAGAGATGTTAATGGTATCCATCTTAAGGGGCTGTTGTGAGGACTAAATTAGTTAATAATGTTTAAAGTGCTTAGAATATGCCTGTCACATACTAAGCACATACAAATGTTTGCTCTATTTAATGTTGAAATTACTTCATTCTTGGAAGAATGACCATTTTCATACTAGATGCCACATCTTTGCCTGTTTCAGTGAGAGTTTTTTTTGAAATATGAAATGCTGGTAGAGTGCCAATTGATTATAGGAC